TAGAATTTAATTTGTGTTTGTCTTAATAATTACACAAGCATTATAATACCAGTCTTTGCTAATGTTTTAAAAGTTATCTGAACATTTGGCTTAAAAATAACTAGTTCTGGGCTGGGAAGGTGGCTCAGTGGTAGAGCGCTTGCCTTGCATGCATGAGGCCCTGGGTTCGATTCCTCAGCACCACATAAGCAAAAAAAGAAAAAAATCAGGAAGTGGCACTGTGGCTCAAGTGGTAGAGCACTAGCCTTGAGCTGAAGAGATCAGGGACAGCACCCAGGCGCAGAGTTCAGGCCCCATGACCAGACCAAAAAAAAAAAAAGAGTTACATAGCCTGGCACCAGTAGCTCACTCCTATAATCCTAGTTACTCAGGAAACTGAGTTCTGAGGATCAAGGTTGGAAGCCAGCCCACGCAGGAAAGTGTGTGAGACTGTTATCTCTAATTAACCACCAAAAAGCCAGAAGTGGGAAAGCTCAAGTAGCTCAAGTAGCAGAGAATCAGCCTTAAGAGAAAAAGGTAAAGAACATCATCCAAACTCTGAATTTATGCCCCAGTACTGGCACACACACACAAAAAAAAAGTTACAAAAAACACAAATTCTTTTTTTCATATGCATAAAAAATAACTAGTTCTAGAATGTAGATGAAAAGTACATAAGCAAAAAGAAGTTTATCTGCCTTACTCTCATATCATTTCATTTTACTTCAAATTATTACAACTTGGCTCAATCAGATACAGAGTCCATTGCACAAAACAATAAAGCCCATTTGCCATACTTATTTTTCAAGAAAATGCAGAATCAAACTTCTAAACTTTCTACTGCAGAAACAGTGCCAAAGACATTACAAGTATAGAAAATATAATACAGATATATCTGAAGAACTTAAATATAAATAAATTATATATCAGATGTTCTACATATAAACTTGATATGTAAATTAGATACAAACTTTCTGTAATTTGTATTGTTTTCCTACTTCCTTTTGATGCAAATAATTAATATCTAAAACAATCCCATTGGATGAAAGTATTTTAGCTATAAAACTTTGGTTCACACACAATAATGTAAAACACTACAGAACATTTCTTTGGCAGTAGAATATCACTTAGAAAATCAAAACGGGGTAGGAATGTGGATTAGTGGTAGAATGCTTGCTAGCATGCATGATGCCCTGGGTTCAATTCCTCAGTTCCACATAAACAGAAAAAGCCAGAATTGGCACTGTGGCTCAAGTGGTAGAGTGCTGGCCTTGAGCTAAAGAAGCTCAGGGACAGTGCCCAAGCCCTGAAGTCAAGCCCCAGGACTGGCAAAAAATACACAAATAAATAAATAAAAATAAAAACATAGTTCCATCTCTGTTCATACATTTCTGAATTGTTTATTTCTAAAGGAACTTGGATCTGATCAATTTTATCAATAGTTTGTGTCCCTAATGGTTGTTGAAGAAGTCTAGCTAAGGCCTCATGGAATATTTGGTTCTACTTAGAACTTCCACTTGGTAAGTAGTCAAATAACCCTTACAGATATTCTTCTAGATTTACTTTCATAATTTGGCATTTGTACAAATCCTTTTTCCCTTACAAGGAGTATAACTGTGATGGATTACTGAGTGATAGCATTTTTTCAAATATTACTAGAAAGATGCATAATAATGTTTAAAAAATAAAATTCAGCTATTAATTTTGATTAATACTTACATAAACCTGCAGAAATATTTAGCATTGCCCCAAATAAGCATTTTTCTGGAGCTATTGTTCCTGTGTCACTGAAAGATAAAAAGAAAGTATGCAGATTTCTCACATTAGATAACAGGAATTATTTCAAATCTTTCTCATTTAAAAGCCTATGGGCAAGCCCAGGAGCTGGTGGCTCATACTTGTAATCCTAGCTACCCAGGAGGCTAAGATCCAAAGATCAGGTTCAAACCCAGCCCAGGCAGGGAAATCCATAAGACTCTTTATCTCCAATTAACCACCAAAAATTCAGAAGTGAAGCTGTGGCTCAAGTGGTAGAAAACTAGCCATGAACACAAAAGCTCATGGACAGCACCCAGGACCTGAGTTCAAGTTCCAGGACCAGAAAAAAAAAAATCTCATGAGCTCCACTCCTACATTAATTTATAAAGAGACAAGGATAATAAGTGCCTAAAAATATTTACCTACCTCACTTTTTCCTATCACTTAAGATTATTACATAATACAAATCAACATAAAAATTTGTAATATTATCCTCGACTATAATCCAACCTACTCAAGAGGCTAAGATGTGAGGACTGCAGTTCAAAGCCAGCTTAGGTAGGAAAGTCCATGAGACACTTATCTGTAATTAACCACAAGAAAACCAGAAGTGTCTTAAAGTGGTAGAGCACTAGCCTTGAGTGAAAATGCTCAAGGACAGCATCCAGGCCCTGAGTTGAAGCCCCACAACCAACAAAAATAAGTAGACAGATATATAGATAGTTGATAGATTTATAAATGTGCAATCTACATTAATGTATAGTATGTATTATGTGTATTGGTGTCTATGTACGTATATGTCTTTGTATATTTATGCAAAATTAACTGTTAATACTTAATGTGTTAGAAATATCTAACCAGCATGTCATAAAGAGCACAGCCCCTAAAGCCAAAAAGCCCAGGTTTGTATCTTGATTTCAACACCTACTGAATCACTGTATTTTAGAGAAATCACTTAGTCACCCTGGACTCTCATTTCTTCTGCTATAGTTTAGATATTGAATGGCCCCCAGTGTTCCATGTTTTAGAGGTCTGATCCCCAGAGAGGCACCTGGAAGTTGTGGACCGTTAAGAGGTAGGGTTTTGTGAGAGGGCCTTCAGTTATTAAAAGCATGCTCTTGAAGGAAATTATCCCCCTTTCCTTACTCTTTTCTGATTCTAGGTCATGAACAAAAGTTTTACTTTCCTACTGCTTCCATGCTACTGCATGACAGGCTGCTTAGTCATAGGCCAAAAGCAACAGTTCAAATTGATCAGGGACTGAAACCTCTCAAACTGTGAGCCAAAATAAACCTTTTTTCCTTAAAAGCTAATTATCTTAGATATTTGTTACAGTAACAGAGAGCTAAGTAACAGAATGAGGAGAACAGTCCCTACCTCCTATGAATGCTGTAAGGATTTGGTTATCTACCTAGAACATTGCTTTGAATACATTAAGTAGATCAATAAACCTATTGATACTATTATCTTTTCCAACCATCATTGGAAAACAACTATTGTTGTTTACAATTTTTTTTTATTTTAAGGGGAAAATAATTTCAATTTTTTGTTCTGAGGAAACATCAAATCCTTCTTTGGAAGACCAAGAACTAAAGAATGACAACTAAGCAGGTCATTAACTGTAGCATATTTCTGTCTTCATACTTTTTTGTGTGTGTGTGCTAGTACCGGGACTTGAACTCAGGATCAGGTGCTGTCCATTAGCTTTTTCACTTAAGTCCAATGTTCTACCTCTTAAGCCACAGCTCCACTTGTGTGTTTGGGTGATTAATGGAGTTAAGAGTCTCACTAACTTTTCTGCCCAGGTTGGCTTCAAATCACAATTCTCAGATCTCAGCCTCCTGGGTAGTTAGGATTACAGGCATGAGCCACTGGTCCCTGGCTTGTCTCTACAATACTGTATCACAGAGAAGGAATTAACTAAAAGCTATAATTTATATTCCCTTTATTGTTGAAATGCCAACATAGAAATCGGAATTTTAAAACACTGACATAAAATGTCAGCCTCAACATAAGCTATGAATGAATCGTACAGATTCTCCTTTTTTGTTGTTGTTGGGTATGTGACTTGAACTCAGGGCCTGTACACTGTCCCTAAGTCTCTTTGTGCTCAAGGCTAGCACTCTACCACTTGAACCACAGCTCCACTTCCCTTTTTTGAGTGGTTAGTTGGAGATAAGAGTCTCATGGAGACTTTTCTGCCCAAGCTGGCTTTGAACTGTGATCCTAAGATCTCAGCCTCCTGAGTAGTTAGGATTACAGCCACCAGCACCCAGCTTATGAATTTTTATTTTATTTTTTCCCAGTCCTGGAGCTTGAACTCAGGGCCTGGGCATTGTCTCTGAGCCTCTCTGTGCTTAAGGCTAGTACTCTGCCACTTGAACTACAATGCCACTTCTGGCTTTTTCTATCTATATGTCAAACCCAGGGCTTAATGCATGCTAGGTAAGCACGCTACACTAAGCCACATTACCAGCCATACAGATTCTCTTACAAATACATTTCACTGACCTGATAAAAGGCAAAAAGGGGTCGACATGATGGAGAGTTATAGCAGTAATGTAGGAAAATATGAAAGTAGTGGATGTCCAAATTACAAGGGCAGAAGGGAAAAAACAGAGGCCTTGCTGAAACCACCACATTTCAAACAGGTCTTCTGAAAGAGAAAAAAAAAATAGACACAATAATTTATTAATAAGTTTCCTCCATTCTACATTAGCCATCCACTCCTAGAGCCTTGTACTTATCACCCAGACCTGCTTCCTTTCTGAAAGCATCCCTCATGCCAACCCAGTTCTTGCTTTTCAGTAAATAAAGATTCATTCACGCACTAACCATAGAAAAACCTGTCTTTCCCACAAATGACCAATTACCAATACTATTTATTCACCTCAATTTCCAATCTACCTCTTTTCTCCATCTTCATTGCCACTAATCTATCTAAAATATCATCATTTTCTTTCTTTCTCTATTCTTTTTGTTGTTGTTGTTGGTTGGGGGCCTGAACTCTGGGCCTGGATGCTATCTCTGAGCTCTTCAGCTCAAGGCTAGTGCTCTACCACTTGAGCCACAGTGCCACTTCTGGCGTTTTCTGCTTATGTGGTGCTGAGGAATCAAACCCAGGGCCTCACACATGCAAGGCAAGCACTCTACCACTGAGCCACCTTCCCAGCTCCAACTAATCATCATTTTTAACCAGATTATTTTCATAACTTCCTAAATGGTCTTTGCCATAATGTTAAATATATGGTCATCTGCATCATCAGGATAATTGGTCCTCACGAATACTAAAATATAGAAATGCTTAAGGCCCTTAGGGGCTTGGCCTCTTAGGGTTTGAATGGTGATCCAGGACCTACCTAAAAGTGTCGGTAGGGAAAGGGCCTAAGTACATATATATCACACATTTCTTTCTGTCTTAAATTCACTCAAATAGCTGTAGCTATTATGTAATAATTACGTAATAATGCGATTTGAGTGCTAAGAGTGTGGCTCAGTGGTTGTGCACTTGCCTAGCATGTGTAAGACCCTGGGTTCCATCTCCAGCAGCACAAAATCAAACTAAAAATAGTAGTAATAATGTATATTAAAAACTATTACATCTTAATACATTTATTTAAATTTTTTTAAATACAGAAATAGTTTTAACTGAGAACCAATGACTCATGCCTATAATCCTAGCTACTCAAGAGGATCTGAGGATCAAGCCTTGAAACCAATTCACCACCACCAACAACAAAAAACACAAGTATACCTATGGTTCAAGTAGTAGAGTGCCAGCCTTAAATGAAAAACTAAGGCACAATGTCCTGGCCCTGCCTTCAAGCCCCAGTACTGACACAGAAAAACAAGCAAATACATACCAAAAAAACTGTTCAAACTACAAGAAATTTTTCCTCATAGCTTGATGGCCTAAAAATTTTACTTATCTCCACAAACTCCATAAATATCCTTAGCACTTCTCTTCTCTACAGTTGATGGTGCTCAACTTCCTCATGTCAGATGGACTTTCTAAAAAATGAATTCTCAGACAGTTTTCACTTGTCATGTGCGCTAATCATTTGACTTCTTGCTCAATAAGGACATTTTCATCTTGCTCTGTAAGTTTTTCTTTTGTCCCTAAAATCACCATGATAGGCGTGATTTGAGGATCTTCCTGCTAAGTTACCATGATCTCCTCTTTCTACTTCTTTTTCTTGTCAGCCCTTACCCGCCCATCAATTATTCATTTTCTTCCTCTACTTAGTTAATTGAACACAAGCACCCATCGGTTTTTTTTTTCCAGCAGCAGTTACTGGAAAAATAATCCTCAATTTGTACGAATTTTTAATCATGTCTAAAGTCTTTCATCTTTCTTCTCTAATCTCTTTAGGTGCTATTTTAATTTCTGTTTCCAGCAATTCTCACTTCCTGTCTCCATATTCATTGGTTCAGCCCATTCTTGCCTGTACTTTATGGTTTCCAAAAAGATGTCTGAATTTAGAAAAGCTTAATCTGAGAGCATTAAAAAAGACTTAATTGAGGGTAAATTAGGGAGCATCTATATGTCCTTTTGCAAGTACTTTGGCACATTACTAACAGGAGCCAACTTTGTATTAATTTTTTGGCTGTCAGTTTTTCCAATCATGTAGAATGTAAACTTGAACATTGAACCTGAGTGATTGCAGACACTACAGCTTCAAGTACCCAAGTGGTATCTTTCTTCTCCCACCTAGAACTGTGGTGAAAATAGACAAATTTCTTCTTGACCATCCTGTGTGCCAGGAGGGAAATATATTTCTGTCTTACCTTTCACTGAATGTGTAGACTTCTGAGATCCTGACTAAATTTGGGAAGAAGTGGTTTTCCAAGGCCATGAGTTATATAATTTTAAGTGGAAAAATTTACATTTTACTTTCTAAAAATGTCACCCACTGAAGTATAGATACCATTTGCACAAACTACCATATGAAGAGTGTCTGTTGAAGTTGTATACTTGAGGTCACATGGGTAGGAGTGCTATCTGCCTACGCTGGTATGACCATAGGAAGCCTATCTCATGGTCTTCCTTGTGCTTAATTCTATCAACCACATGACCCCAGAGAAAACATACTTGCTACTCTATCTTCAGCTCTGTATTACTTTTCAGTCTTGAGGATTTCCCTTTATTTCTGTGTAAGATCTGATATGCACTTATTTACAAGGATAAAACTATTACTTATTCAGTATTTGGATGTTTTGGCAAAAAGGATTTCAAAATATTTTGTCCATCCCACTGATAGAAGTATTACTTCTGCTCCAATTTATCTTTTTACACATATAGATCATTCCTATTCAAAACAGACCTCAATCATTCTCTTGGACCAACAACTTTCCCTCAAACCTATCTGGAAGTAAGCGTCTATTCTTCTGAGAATACTTGACTTGTTCATCTGTTGCAAATCTTTTGTTTTACAGTAGGAAAATTTAGAAGAGTGTCTCCAGTGGATAAAGCCTTTGCTGACTATACTTAGCTGAGTCACTCAGTATTTGTGGTTTGAACAGGCAGTCAAAAACTAAACCCTCTTTACCTCTCATTATTGATCGTTTTGCTTTGTTCTGTTTTTGTTTACTTTAGAATACAGTGTTATTTTCTTCCCTGGGTTTTGCAGCTATGCAAAGAAACTGACTTTCTTCAGAGCCCTCATAAGCTACACCAAGTGATAATGGCACTCCTATTTCTATAACTTGCTTAAGATTATCATTCCTCCAACTGTACATTTAATTCAGATTCTCATTATAATTCAGACTCTCAGTTCTGTTGGCCTGCTTCATTTCCCCTCAGCTAGGCTATCTTCATTGCTAAGTTAACATTTCTAAGACAATCCTCGGATAAAAAACAAATTATTTTAGGGCTGGGAAGGTGGCTCAGTGGTAGAGTGCTTGCCTTGCATGCATAAGACCGTGGGTTCGATTTCTCAGCACCACATAAGCAGAAAAAGCCAGAAATGGTTCTGTGGCTCAAAGTGGTAGAGTCCTAGCCTTGAGCTGAAGAGCTAAGGGACAGCACCCAGGCCCAGAGTTCAGGCCCATGACTGGCCAAAATAATAATAATAACAACTTTATTTTTCTTTTTAAATTATCATTTAAATCTTGTCCAAAGGCTTTACAATTTAACATGTCAGTTTTATGAGTACAATGCATCTTGATCAATATCCTCCCTTCCATCATTTTCCCCATCTCTTGTTATTCCATCAATTCTCTCAAGTTACCTGGTTTTAAAACTTTTTTTTTAGGGGCTGGGAAGGTGGCTCAGTGGCAGAGTGCTTTGCCTTGCATGCATGAGGCCCTGGGTTCAATTCCTCAGCCCCACATAAGCAGAAAAAAGCTGGAAAGTGGTGTTCTGACTCAAGTGGTAGGGCTCTAGCCTTGAACTAAAGAGCTGAGGGACAGCACCCAGGCCCAGAGTTCAAGCCCCATGTCTAACAAAAAAAAAAATTTTTTTTTTTTAAAAATAATGTAGCCAGGCCGTTGGTGACACATGCTTGTAATCCTAGCTACTCAGGAGGCTGAGAGCTGAGGATCAAAGTTCAAAGCCAGCCCAGGCAGGAAACTCCATGAGACTCTTATCTCCAATAAACCACTCAGAAAACCAGAAGTGACGCTGTGGCTCAAGTGGTAGAGAGCAGCCTTGAGCTGAAGAGCTGAGGGACAGCACCCAGGCCCAGAGTTCAAGCCCCACGATCAACAACAACAACAACAAAAATTATGTAAACTTGGTCAAACTTCATAACTTCTGGGCTGGGAAGGTGGCTCAGTGGTAGAGCGCTTGCTTTGCATGCATGAGGACCTGGGTTAGATTCCCCAGCACCACATAAGCAAAAAGAAAAAAAGCCAGAAGTGGCGCTGTGGCTCAAGTGCTGTGGCTCAAGTGGTAGAGCACTAGCCTTGAGCTGAAGAGCTGAGGGACAGCACCCAGGCCCAGAGTTCTGGCCCCACGACCGGACCCAAAAAACAAAACAAAAACAAAAAAAAACTTCATAACTTCTTTGAAACAGTTTCTACTATGTAGGTAGCACATACTAAGTAATGAATAGGAACATGCAGCTATATTAATTAAATTTTCAATTGGTTCAAATTAAGTAAAAATTACAATCTCAGTTCCTCTGTTAAAATTCTCATATTTCAAATGCTGAAAGCCACATGTGTCTATTGACAGCTAGGAGGCCAATAAAGACATAGGGCATTTTCTTATTATGGAGTTTCACTGAGCAGGGCTAGCTAGTTATTACAGAGATTGTACTAACATGACAGAACAAGAAAATAAAAACCTAACACATTGCTGATGTATAATAAACAGTAACTGTTAGTACTATGTGTTAAAAGGTCTAAAACAATAGCTGCTTCATTGAGGTTTATTCAAAAATTAAATGAGATGATGCATGTAAGGCTAGGGTACCATCGTAGGTAGACAATGTGTTCCTCTTTTAGAAGATGAAAGAGAAATTACCTGTTTTATGAGTTCACAAAGTTTCTGTCTTCAGAACTCTCTAAACTGTATTTCTTTCAAATCTTGAAATCTACAAAGAAAGAATATACCAAGTTATTGTTTCTATGTAATTTTTAAACAGTGTATTTTTAGAAATGCACCAAAACACTCTGTAGCTTGAAAAATAACTCATCTTACCAATTATCCAGTGATAAGATTTCAGATAGGTTATTTAACTCATGAGCTACAATATTCTTATTTGTAAAACAGACAAACCCTCCAAGGACTGTTCCTTAGACTGGAATGGGATAAGTGTAAGAAATGACAGTATATTTATTATTTATTACCATGGTATAGACCATGGTAAATAACCACTCATAGACTCAACTGCTTTTTTAGTGTGTGCATGTACTGGAGCTTGAACTGAGGGCTTTGTGCTCCTGCTTAGCTTTTTTGCTCAAGACTGGCACTCTACCACTTGGTCCACATCTACACTTCTGGCTTTTTGAATTCTCAGATCTTTGCCTCTTGAATAGCTAGGATTATAGGCCTGAGTCACTAGATCCTATAAGATTGAACTGCTACGTATAAATTCTCTCAATTTGCAGCAGGATTTGAGATAGTTTTAACATGAGTTTAACATGAGATAGTTTAACATGAGAAACTGAAGTACACAAATTAGGCTAGAAAGATAAGTAACAGAGTAATTCCTAGCAAAACAAAATCAGAAGTTTAATGGTCAATAATTGCAGAAACCCTTTAAAAGACTTGAAAATATGTAGGGATAAACTTGACACAGCAGTAAGAATATTCAACAAAATATTTTTGCATCTATCACCTATCTTCTGTGCTGTCTTTGAAACTCCAAGAATCAGAACTGCAGCTCCAATTTTTACAAATATGCAAAGTCACTGGTAGATGATTTCTAATGGCATCTTCTCCAAGTGGCAAATGCTAAGGAATAAGAAGAAACTAAACTGGGAGAAACAAACAGGACAAAAGAAAAAGAAAACAAAAACAGCAACAAAGGAAAAACCCTCTTCTTGGGAGGGTGGGACAAAGGGTGAACAAATGCAGCAGTGGTACTCACTAGATACTATCTGGAAAATGAACTGTATAACTTGTGGGTGGGGATGGGAGGGAAGACCTGAGAGAGAGCAAGGGAAGGGATGGCACTGTTTAAAAAGATATGTACTCTTTATATCTGACTTATATAACGAACTCCTCGGTACATCACCTTTTATAATAACAAAAATGCACGAAGAAAAAAAATAATGCAAAACTTTTAATAAAGTCTCCCAGCTACCTGTTAATAAAAGAAAAGAAAGAAAGTAAATTGTGGATGTTTCAAGTGAACAGATGGAAAGCCCTGAGCTTCTTTCACTCAGGTAGAGAGTAAAGCATGAAAGAAAACGATTATTTCCTAAACTCTAATAATGGCCTCTTAACAAATGTAGAGTATTGGGCCTGTAGTTTAAATCCTAAAAGAATATAGAAGATAAACTTCACAATGGAAGAGAAATGAAAATTTGACAATGCCACACAAATTGAGTTTCATTGGCTACTGATTCATGAACTAAAATTTGAAAGAACTGGGAAGATTTTTTTTTCCCCAAGCCGTTTCCTGTTTTGCAAATGAAAAACTCCGGTCCTGAGGATACAAAAGACCAGCAACTTCCTGTCCGCGTGGGAACCACTCCCAGCATCACCAATGTGGGCAGTAGTAGACTGAGTTCCAGCAAACACAAGGTCACCAAGGATCCCAGTTTCAAACTGACTCCTGCCCGCGCCACCAGAATCTGTGCCCAGCAGTGACAAAGGGAACACGTACCCAACCCAAACCGTAGTGTGTGTGTGTGTGTGTGTATGTTAAGGGGGGGGGGGAGTTCTTACCCTCTTAAAAACAAAAACAGAGTGTTTAGATCTCTGCTTTTTTGTTTTCTCCGCCAGGTCCCACAGCACTGGAGCACAGATCTGTTTCGCTTCACCTTGGGCCTCCAGAAGAAGATGCAGGAGACAGTTTACAAAGAAGCGCCGCTGTGGGTGGGTGGGTGGGGGCAATCAAGCCGTGGAAGAACCAAGTAACGAGACAGCAAAGTGGGGTGCGGGGTCTGAGTCCACCTGCACTCACCAGCCCCTCTTGGGTCCCCTCGAAGCTCTCCCACCGCCTTGCACACCCCCCAGCCCGGCCCTGGCGTTCGCATCGCGCACCCCCAAGTGCAGACTGACCGTGGCGGGGCCCGGGAGGGGGGGAGCGGGTGGCCGGCTCCCGGGGAGACGGGCAGAGCCCCAGAGCACCCCCGGGGCCACGTCCCAGTCCGCTGACGCATTTCCAAACGTCGGGCTCCAGGCATCAAGCATCTTCCCCTCCCCTGACCTTCTGAACTGCCTTACCTGGCTGATCCAGCCAGCGTCAGCCGAGGGCCCCGGTGCTCACAGCCCGGCCGCAGCAGGAGACAGGGTGGAACTCTGGGGCGCGCTCCCGAGCCGCCCGGCCAGCTCGGGGACGCGCTGCCGCTCCTTCCGACCCCCCCACCCCCGACGCGCGCGCCCTTTACGGCAGTCGCGAAAGTGTCGTGAACGTGCCGCCGCCGCTTGGAGTCACCCGGGCGGCTGGACCCGGAGTTGTTATTCGTAGGTGTGCTTGTCGGAGTGCGGGTAAGGATGCTGGGGTAAAGTCTCGGGAGAGCGGAAGAGGCCCGGATGTGAAGGACGTGGAGGGGAAGGAGGGCGAGCCTGGAGGCTCCGGGGAGGGCTCCTCGGCGGAGTGGTGTGTGGGGTTTCGCTGAGACGAACGCCGCCCTTCCTCATGCAGGGCGGCCTCTCGCGCCCGTGCGCGGGGCTCGGGCAGCGTCGGGGGGCGACCGACTGTCCCTTACGGGGGGCTTGGGAGACGGGGAGGTGGCAGAGCGCCTGCGCGGGCCGAAGCGGGAGTCGGGGCAGGGGGAGCGGGGACCGCGGAGCGCGGCCGGCCGGCGGCGGGCGGCAGGAGGGCTGGGCCGCCGCCCGGGCGGAACCGAGCCTGCCTGTCGGCTCTACACCGTCCTGCCCCAGCGCTGCCATCTCCACACACCGGGCAGCATCTCGGGCCGGCTGTGCCTTCTTCCCCTTTGGAATTGCCGTGGTGGTGGTGATGGCGGTGGTGGAGGTTTCCTGGCTGGGCCTCGCTTCTTGGTCAGCAACTTTTCTAGAAATTTCAGCTCATCCTGATCAGCGCAGACACGCCAGCGAATGGGGTGTGTTTCAGCAGTATTCTTAGAAGGAGGATCGACGGGAGGCTTGCTCGGGTTTGCCAGGAGCCCCGGGGTGAATGGGATCTTCACCCTCAGCGGTGCCTTCTGCACCTGGCAGTTTGGCCGTGTTACGTCCCGGACGTTTGGCATCGATGGCATCGCATTGTAGGCTTTGCCTCGGGAGTCTTGTAGTGCACGGCTAAATCTGTGTGTGGTCAGAAGACTCCGTTCCGACGGATATGCTCTAATCCGTGCCTGTTGAATTGACTCAAAACACAAACCACACTGGGCTAAGGCACTCACTCGGTCCCTTACCATTGACAACGATCTGTTCGTATGAAATCTCAGAGACAAGTTCTAACACTATTTGGTTGCGTATTCCACCCGTGCTGATTGAAGTTCCTTGTAGAATTTTTTCATTGCAACCCTTCTTTAAAAGAAGTATATATTAGATAAATCTGCCTCGTTAGCGCTAATTACATTATATTACATAGCAGATTCTTCTTTTGCTGGGCTTCTGTATGTTATTTAAGCTGACCAAAAGTTCTGTTGATATTCTTTGAAAGTCATTCTGTGTTCATTTTCAGAAACTAGAAAAATATACAAAGCCAGGCTTTTGCTGTCCCCACCCCCAACCGTCCGTCCTTGCGGGGGGGGGGGGAGTTATTTTTGTTTTAAGGAAGACAAGACTTCACTTTAGCAAAACACTACATTTAAGTTGTATTACACAGTAATTTTTTTTCTTCCAAGTTTGTGGTAAAAAGGCTTTTGTATATGTAATTTGTGTGTGTGTATTTGCACACACACGCGGCTCCTGCACCCATAGTGGGCTGGGCAATATCACTTAGCTTTTTCATGAAAGGCTGGTGCTTTACTACAGCCATACCTCTGCTTCCAGCTTTCTCTTGCTGGTTATTGGAGATAAGGCTTTCATGGGCTTAACTGCCCCGGCTGGCTTCAAACCAGGATCTTCAGATCTCAGTTTCCTAAGGAACTAGGATTACAGGCATGAGCAAGCCACTGGTGCCCTGGGTTGTAAATTTGTTTTATGTGTCACTTGCTAAACAATGCTGAACTTCATCTAGCGATTCAGTTTTGTTTCTCCCTTTCTTGGTTTTTGTCATTGTTGTTGTTTTATCATTTTTCCCCACCCATCATTCTCCTTAGTGTCAGCCATTGGTATTTTACTTTCATGGTGCTATGGAGTTGGGAAAGAGCAGGTTCCCCTGTGAGAGGCTTGTGAATATACTGCTGAATCAGTGCAGATCAAAACTTGGCACCTTAGACATGGGGGGGTGGAATTCTGGAATTTCACATAACAGGTTGGATATTGTGCAAGTTTACCTTATGCTCTGCCTAGCAGTTGGGAGGAGTTGTTTGTTTTACTGGTATTTGTCAGGTGTTCCCCATGCAGAAGTCTAGAATAGGAAGGATGCTTTTATCCTCAGCTACTGTAAGTACAAATGTCTTACATGATGGGTGTTTAAGTCCCAAAATTGCATGTAGTTTCAGTGACCATTAAGTATTTGATTATATTTTTGTATCTTTGCTGAGCTTTTCACATAGATATATATTCATGCCTATACAAGGAAGGAGAGTGCAATCTGAAGAATAAGGTTCAAAGCCAGCCTGAGCAGGAAAGTTCCTGAGACTCTATTCCTAGTTAACCAGCAAAAAGTTGGAAATGGAGTTGTGTAGCTCACGTGTTTGAGCATCAGCCTTTGAGCGACAGAACTCAGGAACAGATCCCAGGCTCTGAGTTGAAGCCCCAGGACACACACACACATACACACGCACGCACGCACGCGCACACACCCACACACATACGATGTTTTGTCAAACCATTAGAACTCAGGCACACACACACACACACACACACACACGATGTTTTGTCAAACCATTAGTTCTCCAAACGTTTGTTGGAAGGATGTTAGAACTTAATAAGACTTATCTCTCTCTACCCCCCCTTCCCCCCCCCTCCACACGCAAACCTTTGGAGCTTCTGGACAGTATAGAATGACATATCTCTGTTTTCCTGCTTCCACAAGATCTAGAACTACTAAAGTGTTCCTTAAATATAAGATGAATCATATCAGCTCATCATTCAATAAGTGTGATTACTTACATAGTGCTAAGGCTGGTACGAGACTATGGGAAAAGAACGTTAGCAAAACAAGCATGGCCTTTGCACTTGTGGAACTTACAGAGCAATGTGGGGAAAGAACAAAAAAAGAGTCTATAAACAAAACATTCAATGAGCTAAGTGCTAAAGCCAGGTTATAACAGAAGAGGGGTATTTACAGATTATAGGTGGGAAAGTTGCCAAAGTACTGTCACCAATATTTATAAAATGAACTTCAACAGGTGGCAAGAACTTTTTTTTAATATACTTTAAGGTACTCAGTTATTCTTACGATTTATGAAAATCTATCTTTGGTTAACAATTAGGCTGTGCTCCAGTGTTGTAGGGTTTTTATTTGTTTGTTTGCTTTGTTTTTAGTTTTTTCTCTCAAGACTGGTGCTCACTACTTGAGCACTTGAGCCACAACTCCACTTCTGGGTATTTTTTTTCTTTTTTTTTTTGTATGTATGGTTGGGGGGGGAGGGCGTCGAGGGTTACCTGGGACTGGTTAGCTTGAGATGAGAGTCTCAATGGACTTTTCTGCCTGGACTGGCTTCCAACCATGATATCAGAGTAGCTAGCCCCTAGTACCCAGCTCAATTTTTTTTGGGGGGGAGGGGCGTTTTTTGTCTTCATAGTGGTTTTTTGTCTTCAAAGATTTCAGGTTGCTCAATGTAAAATGTGCACTCCAAACTATTTTCTGACTCATTAACTTATTTTTCTTATAGTGCCCATCACACTGTGTAATGTTATTGCTTATTTGCCAGTTTTTAGCCATGGGGGAGCTAAAAACATATCTGTCTGGTTCATTACAGTCAAATATTACTTGAATGTATTGGAACTTGGAACCATTTTTCCATAAAAACTATTTCAGCAGGGTGCTGATGGTTTACACCTGTAATCCTAACTACTCAGGAGCCTCAGATCTGAGGATTTTTAGTTTCTATACTGTAGAAATAAAGCACATTTTTCTGCTGCTTACCCCTTTGGGCATAGGTCTGGCACCATATAAAAGTTTTAAGCAGAGCCAGGTGCTGGTGGAGGCTAAAATCTGAGGATTGCAGTTCAAAGCTAGCTTGGCAAGGCAAGTCTGTGAGACTCAGGTGTGGCTCAAGTGGGAAAGCACCAGCCTTGAACAAGAAAGCCAAGTGAAAGTGAGAGGCTTTTTATTCAGGCCCCAGGCCTGGCATGCACCTCACACATATACGCAACCTTAAGTGGTTAAGTAATGTTTGTAATATTTGTACTACCTTTTCATATTTCCATTCTAACATCCTCCTGTTCCCTTTCTGTCCTGATCTTCCTGTTGTATCTATTGTAATATCCAGAAGGTCCTGTTTTTTTTTTTCTGAGATGGCTTACATGACAATATACGTGTTTGTTATATCTATTGTAACATCCAGAAGGTCCTGTTTTTTTCTGAGATGGCTTGCATGACAATAGACATGTTGAGAGTGTAAATGGACCTGTGTTAGTGACTGTTGCCAGTGACCTACCCACCTATTTATTGCAGTGTTTAAAAGTAAAATACCTGTCTAGGGCTATGTGTGTCTGAATTTATATTTCCAATATTGTTGCTAATAGCTCACAGAGACTAAGTTTCCAAATTAAAATGTTGTCAAGAAAAATCTTAAAAAAAAAACTCATTGCCTCTTTTTATGTTTTTTTGGGGGGGGTTAGTTGTTTTTTGCTTGGGGGTTGAACTCAGAGCCTGGGCACTGTCCCTTATTTTCTTTTTTCCTCAAGGCTAGCACTCCCCCACTTGAGACGCAGCACCACTTTCAGCTTTTTCTGTTTATGTGGTTCTAAGGAATCGAACCCAGGGCTTCATGTGGTTCTAAGGAATCAAACCCAGGGCTTCATGCAGGCTAGGCAAGCACTAAGCCACATTCCCAGCCCCATCTTTTTATGTTGGATATATAAAAGTTAGATGTGGAAAGGCTTCCCAAGAGTAGGTTTTTTTCTAAGTGAGAAAGAAAAGGTTAAAAGAAATCTAGGTCATGAGGGGGGAAACTCAGAAGGAAAGTATCAGTTTGTAAACCATTCCTGCCAAATATTTGCACTTAAAACCACTCAGATCAGTTGCTTCAGACTGTTCAGTGCCAAGAGCAAGTTAACACCCCATTTTTTAATAATAGAAGGATAAAAGTTTAAA